TACTAGTGAACTGACTATGAACAGACATGTTATTCTGACAAAAAAAAAAAAAAAAAAAAAAGAAAGAGAGAAAAGAAGTAAGGCTTCAAAAACTACGATACGCAAGTAAGTGTTTTTGACCACGATTGGTAGAGAAGAAGCTATGGTGTGGTTCCAAGGCTTGCAACTAAAAACACCTTAAATACGCCGCGTAGCACCTTAAGAAAAACATTCAATATTCCTTCGTCTCTTAATCCATCCAGGATATGAAGTAGATCGCTCCAACTTGTTTATTTTTTTATTAATTCCAAATATATGGGTTAGAAAATGTCTCATAAAAATGTTTCGTTAAAATCTGTCTCGTAAATGAAACACTTCTCGATAAGACGAAAAACCTATGTACGACATGTTTTAGCGGTTAGAAACACTAGTTTGTCAGTGTAACTTATTATTTAGGTAATCATTCTATTATATTTTCACAATTCCCGTTAGCTATTAATAGCTAAATGCGGGTGGGTGTTATTTAACAATTATTCGCCAAAGGCGAAGTGAATATCGAGACGCGAGTCTTCGAGCGGCGAGGTAAATATTCTCCGATATTCACTGAGGCTGAGGCAAATAATTGTTTTAGTATGAATACACAGGTGATTCTTTCGAGAGAAAAAAAGGAGAAAAAAATTTTTTTTTTCGGTAACAGCAACAAAGCGGCTTGCCACCATTTTGGATTATCGCTGGAGGTGATGAGTTTTTCGACCAATCAGCGCCCGAGATTTTCAATATTCACCTGTGTGTCTTAACTAAATGTTATAACTATGTTTTTAAAATAACTTAAAATATAAACTTGATTCTGGTCTAAAATGAACCTAGCAAATAAAAGAAAATAATAATAATAATAATAAATCCTAATTGTCACTAAAACTTCTTTACATGAATCTCTGTTCAAAACATAACAAAGATTTCGCTTCCAATTTTATCGAGTATTGCTCAAGGTAGACGCGGTTGAGTACTCGGTACTGCCTGCTGCTTTCCACGAAACCGAATCAATACTGCTGATTACCTAYATTGTAGCATTCCTATGCTGTGAAAACAAACAAAGCTACTTTTACCGTTTTCAAGGAAAGTTAGGGAGAATAATATTGTATAGCTATGTTGCGTAGAACAGTAACAAGTCATCTTCTAGCTGTTGTATTCTGTTATATACCTATGTTGTGTAGAACAGAAACAAGTCATCTTCTAGCTGTTGTATTCTGTTATAT